ACCGCTTTAGAGAGATATAGGAATTGTTATGCAAAAATAATCAATCTATATGGCAAATCTAATCGTGCAATGATATACAGGGTGTCTCATTTAAAATATCAACGTTGTATGCACTTTTCGGTATAAGCGGCAACCTCGCATTGCTGAAAATATTTTAGACCGATAGAGCATATCGGGTGACTTCGTGGTACAAATTTGCAGATAGATCGGGTGTCGCGTTCTCCTTAAGCGTCTAATACGCCATCGACCGTGAATCACCCTGTATACGAATTTACTGCAAGATAATCTGAGCCAGTAAATACTGCGCCGGTGCGTTGGGTTGGCGCACCAAGCTATTTGCGCAGCACTACGTCAACATATGAAAATTCACTGAGTTACCCAGGCCTATCTATGATAGTAATTGTGTTAGTAGATATAAAATGTAATACAAATATGTACATGAAGCGAAGTAGACATATTTTTTCTGTCTTAAGAAGTAACCGAAAAATGATGACAACGATTAAAATGAAAGAAACGTTTCTGTACAAGATAATTCGCGTGTATACCGACGCTATTAACATCATTATGCTTGTGAAAAATTAAGATGGTATGGAAATGTAATTTATATTGGCTTGGTGTATTCTACTTACCGCATAGCATTAATGATGAACGATAATGGTTGATCACTCCCAAATTGAGTACCCCAATTCCATAACTTGAACTTACTCCTCAGTTGAGTGCCAGATTGATACGCCGTACCCGTCTCTCTTGTGTCTAAATTGAAAACCTTGCCGTAAAATACTATACACGGGTCTTCACCTGGGGCATTCAAAAATCTGCGAGTTTTGGCATCATTCAGGATCGAAATTCCATACGCTGCCATCTCAAATTGAAGGATATGACTTTCACATGTGGAAACGAAGAATAAATCGTCCACAGCCCTGTGGAAGAGGAAGTCCGATTTGTCAAATTGTTTAAGACAACTATGGGTCAGGTAGCTTAAATATAAGTCGCATAAGATAGGAGACATAGCTTTCCCCTGCAGCAATCCTACAAAAAATATCGTCAAACTTAGATTAAAATCTGGACATTTCCTAGTTTATCTAACCCTCGCGTCCGAAGTTAACAATTTTCCCACCTTATAGATAATCATGTAAGATCGTGCAAGTTTCGAGGTTTGCCAACCTCAGGGACCCCCAGGACCGGTTTCAAGCCTATTAGCTATAATTAGCTGGGTTCAGCCCGAAATTAGTGACCGCAAAACCTGCACCGAGGTGGGCGAACCTCGAAACTTGCACTATCTTACATGATTTCTTGCTCGGATGTTACCGATGATATTCTTGTCCTCATAGATAATATCTTAGGTGGGCAGTTTTTTGTTTGTACTTGAATTTTTCTTAGGCACATTTCGTACTCAGATGTTTGTGTTAGTTTCCGGCAGTTTTTTTTAAGTTTTTGTCAGCTTCGGTTTGTGTTGGTTAATGTTTTTAATATTATTAAGCTGATTTTTGTGTACAAACGGGAATTTGTGGCAAGGGGTTATAAAATACGTATTTCTAGCTATACAGGGTGTCCACGATAAGGATGCATTGCATGGGGATCTCCGAAACCGTAAGAGATACGAAGTCGGTTAAATTCGAAAAAAGTTGCGCAATCAGGGAAGAATTTCTTTTTGTTTTTGAGATATTTAGAAAAAGTGATATTTCGGATTTTATCTTTCTCTTTTTTGAAGTTATTTCGAACCATCAAAAAACAAAAAATACTTTAGCATGGCACCAGTTCAAGCTCTACAAGATGGTCTGGATGAAAATTTATTACGTTTCGTTTCTTTCAACATCATCAACTTTTATTTTTCATATGGTCCGAATAAAACTACATAACGTATTAGTAAACAAAAATTTGTTTGTAAAAAAAAATATTTTCATGTTACATCTTATCTCACAACAATAGTGTAGCTGCCGAAAACACGTACAACGACAAATATTCTGAAATACGACAGCAACTTAAAGGAGTACGGGTTATTTGTAAAACCCACTAAAACTAGATAAAACCTTCCAATAAACAAAAGCAGTTGTTGAAAAGCTTGATCTATCAATCTATCAATAAGGAAAATTTAAAGTCAAATTCGAGTACCCAAATCTACTGCTCAATTCATTTTCAATAAAAATAGCTTTAAACCCTATAAATTTGAGATTCCCATGCAATGCATTCTTATCTCGGACACCCTGTATATGCTATATCTTACCTTATGGAAAGTAATAAAAATTTCTATGAGTGAAACGTGGTAGAAAACCGTATTTGAAGAAGAAAAGGCACAACAGAAACAAAAACACCACAAGTCTCAAATAGTTTTGGGTTCGTCGAAAGTTCCAATCCCACTAAGAAAAGTTTAAGGTACCTATTGTTAACGTCGACCGCAAGGGTCTGATGACTAGAAAATTACAAAAATGTGTATAATACGTTTTGTTATTGGGAATTATATCTAAATAAAGTGCCTCAGGGTATGGCCATAACGACGCACTGCACTTAGCATTGTACAGGGTGTTTTCTCAAAAGTTGACACCCCCTTAGACCGTTTATTCCAAGTAAATCGTGAATGTGATCAACGCAGATGTTGTTTAATTCTACTAACATTTTTTTAAATCTGAATTTAAAATAAAAATAGCAAACAAGGAAATGTCCAAATTTAACATAGTATTTTTTACAAATTTAACATAGTACATTTTCTGAATTATGTTTTAAAAATGTTAAATAGCAACAAAACAAAGAAGCCTTAAAATTCGACAAGGCGCGCTTTCCACCCCATAACGTTCGCCCGGTAGTACTTTTTTTAAATGAAAATGTTGATATCTGGATTGGACCAGCGGGTCATTTCCAATGGCCTCCAAACAGCCCCGACCTAACGCCGCTTGATTCTTATCTCTGGAGTTATTTGAAGAAAATTGTGTATGAGACTCTAGATGGACGCCTTAAAATAGTAAATGCAATTAACGATATTAAGATCAATCATATTCAAAATGTTATAGATAAAATCGAAGTATATTATAGAGCATTTCTAGCGTTAATCGGAGGTCATATACAAAATTAGTGATTTTAATGATTTTCTTAATTTGCCGATCTAAAAAACACCCAAACACAAATTTTTGTGGTACTAGTAAAACTGGTTAAAAATCTATTCAGAAAAAACGAAATTTTTATTTACACTTTGACACACTGTATCTAGGAATCTATTAACTTTCGGATAACACAAATTTGCCTGAAACGCAATATTTTGGCCTAAACAATATGTCAGTAAATTTTTGGACATTTGTTGAAGACCACCCTGCATAAATGGCTCTAAATTTAAAATTAAATTAGTGAAAGATCGGCGGTTGGGGCGTTTTTCGTTTAGTTGTTGTTGATTTTCGTTAAGCTAAAACGTGCAATTTTCTTTTGAAAATATTGCAATGCAAACAGGCACTTTCTACAAAAATGTCAACAATAAACAAACTGAAATCGAACTGCCAAGCAACAGCAGAGCAATGAATCATCGAAAAGGCGAACGTGCAAATGATTAAATAATTATGTTTATTCTGTAGTTCGGTGACTTTTTTCGAAAAGCTGTATGAATGTTCAGTTTCCTACCGACAGAGAACGAAATCGGTCGATAATCCTTTGTGACGCGTGAATCGCGTTCTTAGATGAGAAATATAGAATCATTGTGGCCCTTATGGCAAGTGCGGTAGTTTGTGAAAGTGTAGTGAAATTTTTAAGGATTCGTGGGTAGAAAATGGAGGATGAGGCGCCAAATAGCTTGCAGAAAGCTGCTAAGAATTATCTCTAATCAATATTTTAGCTTGAGCTGAGTTTAGTTTTACGACAAGCAACTGAAGTTTTATGGATTCTTTAATATTTCACTCTCTTGCTTGACTGATTTCAAATAAGTTTGGCTTTGGACAGATTTCCTGCTGTTTCTTTCTAGATGGCACTATGTGGCTTTCGGTAAGTTTAGCATTACTCTGCCCTGATTGCCATGTACATGTGGAAATTTTAGTCTTATATTTATCAAACTTTGGGAATATTTTGGGCAGCTTTGTATTTTTACATAAAGCTCATGTGAAGTTTTGCGTATTATTTTTATTCCACAATCGAAAAGCCATTGGAGGTCATAAAGCACCTTGCGTCAGTAAATTTTATTTTCTTCTAAGAATGTCAATCTTTCAATTTTCTAGTGGCTACTTAAGAAGTTGGAATTTTTATTGAAGGGTCTGCGGTTGCGTAAAACAGTGCATTTACAATTACTTTACATTTACAAAGCACGCAAAATTCATAATTTCATGTCATTAAAATTACTTTTTTATGGATTTTAGAAATGTTGAAGACATTTAGAGCGCACTCTTCTTTACTGAACGCACAACTCTGAACTTGTAGAGTATTTTTAGTTTCTCAGTTTTTCGTTAAAACTCATCCCGTCTCACTGTGTCGCACTTTGAATTACGCTAACTAGCATTTAACCCACGGGCGAATTAAAGCTTTACTAGTCCCAGTGCTCAAATTTAACACTTACCTACAAAAAACACATTTTTTTACCACATTTTTTAGGAGCAACATTTAACCAAATATATTGCGCTGATGCGCTGGGTTGACGAACCAAACCACTACGGCATCACTGCGCTAACTCCTCAAAATTGACTGAGTTACCCATGCCTACTCCAAATCTCTCATGAATCTTTCGAAATGAATAGGAAAATCGTGCAGAATATGAAGGCATATATTTTGCGATTAACCTACTTAATTCGTTAAAAGCTTTCACCTGGCTCACATATGAGTAATATTGGAATTACATATATGGTTGAAAATTGTGTAAATTGCATGTTATAGTAAAGATAATTCTACAATAGTTAACCTTGACGAGTGGAGCAAAGTTGGTCGACTTTACAAAACTATCGCACGCGATCTTATTTCATAAGTGCTGTAAAAAACTTACCATGATTCCACCTGTAAATCTGCTGCTTTCCTCTGACGTGAACATATTGCTGATCTAGGATATTTTTGAACCATATTATTTGAGAGTTTGTCAGAAACTCTGTGCTGTCTTCTATTAAACACTTTAGTTGTTGGATATCAATCATGCCAAATGCATCCAGAAGGTCTAGTTTTATTGCTGTATGAAGAACGCCGGTTTAGTGCAATCGAAACTATAGCGCGTGTGTGTGTATATTATACAGTTGTATACAAGTGCTTACCATACAATTTCCTTTTTGGATTCAGCTCAAGAAATGTCTTCCACTTTGAAAATAAATTACTCTGACCGCCAATTTGATATTTAGAGGTCAAATCTTTTAACGCCTTTTTCATTATGGCTACTCTACCATCATTCCACCCTCTTCGTCTAAACCCATCTTTACAACTCGAATAAGTGCAAACTATTGGTCTATGAATCAACTCATAGATAGTCAATTTTGGTGTAAAAATGAGTTTTCCAGATGCTTTATAATTATTGCCAATTTTGGTCAAGCGCCCTTTCTTAATACATTCAGCAAGGTTTTTATCCATAAAAGAATGGACGGAGGCTGAAAATTAAGATATCAATTAAAAATCAGTGATAAATTCATTAAATTAATTATTGAAATTAGTCGATGGTGGAAAGAATCGATTTGATTTTCGACAACAATTCGAATTATAGATAGAGGAGAATATTAATTTTACATTCTCCTAAAGCAGGACTTTTCTTACGTCAAAGGAAGATAGTTTGCGACATATGTTTTACGAACAAAGTATTTTAGTACTTAAAATCCATACCGACAATAATATGATTTATATAAAGCAATTATGAATTAGGGTGAAAGGTCGAGCTTTTTCGACCAATCCAATCAATAAAGTACATAATTGTGATTTTATACATTCTGTAAAAATGGCAATTACATTAAAATTGAAATGCGTCTACTGAATAGCTTTTTACGCAGAAATAATAGGAAAAAAATATTCTTCAAGAAAGAATTTTTTATAAAAATGTAAAAGTTATAAATGGTAAATTAAGATAAATGTGGGATATTTTCACTAGTCTATTTGAATAGTTATTCACTTTTAATAGTAGTTTTCGTTACAAGGGCGAAAAGTGTCGTTTTTCGAACGAGGACGGCGCCAATCCGTCAGGAGTTTGAAAAACGGATTTTCGCCAACAATATTTATTATTCGAATGAAAAACATAACACGAATCATAAGTTATAATATATAAGAATAGCAAAATTAAAAGTCATCAACTTCACATTTTAAATCTGTTTTTAGTTATTTAGGTTTTTAATATATTCCATGTGTGTCGCACTTAAGATGGAAACACCCCCGTATTTCTTTTATTTTTGGAAGCATGGATTTCAGTTTCGGTACAGAGGTAGAATGTCATGAGGTTAATTGGTTAAGGTACTCATTTCTAACTTCAGATGAAAACCCAGCCTACTACGACTTTGCGAATAGGGGCAATTCGCTATATTTTGCGATGCGTTAGAGATATCGTAGTCGTAAAGTCGTAGTAGGCTGGGTTTTGGTCTAAAGGTTAAAATGGGTACCCTAAACAATTAAGCTCATACATAACATTCTACCTCTGTACCAAAACTGAAAACCTTGCTTCTAAAAATAACTAAAATGTAGGGGTGTTTACATCTTAAGTGCGACACACTGTATAACTGAATAAATGCACTAGATTTTTTGTTTTATTAATCGAAATTGCAATTCATAACGGAAATAACGAAGTTTAATGCTTCTGATAGATATCAAGGCTTCTGGATGTCACCAAGACATCCAGAAGTTTTATAAATCCAAAATTAATATTTTAAATACAATATATGTCGTGTCCGTTAGATGCCTTATCGTTGGACATCCGGCGGAGGTAGGATTCTGTGACATTTGTATAGGAAAATGGACGTCAATTAGACAGCAATCGGACAAATTATGGACATCCATTGGACATGCGGCTGCCCGAAATCCGTTGCCCTATGGACGTCCAATGGATTTAATAATGCTGTCTGGGTATAGATTTCATAAATATCAAGTTTTTCTCTTGCTGTAAAAAAACATTATAGCTGACTTTGCAAAAAAGTTTCGTTTGTCACTTAAATTAATAAAATTATGTCTATTCTTTTTGACAAATTCGGAGCTATTATTTTTGGTAACCTAGGCAACGAGAATATGACACGAGTGTAAATGTGGTCTGCTACCTGATTTTCAAATTAGATGCAAAAACAGGGTGGCCAAAGGTCAATCAATATTGGATATTAACTCAAAAACCGTTGAAAATCATTAGGTATAGAACATTTATATCGAATAGGCCTAGAAATTTACGAATAGCTCGAATGTGCAATAAAAAGTACGGCATTCCATTAAAAAAGAGTAAGTTTGTCTGCCACTTGAATTTGAGACTCCCTGTATCAATTGGTACTATCTCAAAGTAAACTAGACGTTAATATATATAACTTTTGTATGTAACAATTTTCTCCAAATTTTATATTAGATGCAAAAGGGGTGGCCAAAGTTCAATCAGTAACCCTGTATAGTAATTGATTGACAATTTACTGGTCAAATATACGAGACACGTCAAATCTGAGTTAAGATCAGACATTTTCATAGCTCTCTAGGTAAGAAAATTCTTTGAATTACGAAAACAAGTCGATTATTTCCACCACTATTAGTAAGGGTACTTACCTTTAGGGTAGACAATATATTCTCTGTTTTTAAAATTGCATAAAAAATGATAATACTTCCTAATAAAACGTTTTACAACTGTTTGCAATAGAACAGTATTAGCATATAATAATTGAGCTTTTCTGTCGTGGTTTACATTTATCCAAGGAATTGCTTCGTAAACAAATCTTTTAAATAATACACACTGATGAATGCATTCACCCCGGCTCTGTGTCATAATCCTTTTTACAATCATCATAAATATTTTCCTATTGTAAGGAATTCCAAAATATTCCATTGGAATTATTTTGCTCAAAGACTTGATTATGTCCGGTGTAAAATTTACATTTGCTGCCTTCCGGTTAAATATGTGTAAATTGTTGTAGATTTGGATGAAAACATACTCTAAGCTAAAAGTGTCTGGCGGACACTCCAATCCATACGTAAGAGTTTCCCACTTCCTTACAATTTTATGTTTGATAATAGAACTTAGTGCGCCACTTTGATGCACTTTAATTTTGAATAAGTCTAAATGAAAATAATGTGCCATATTTCTCATCATATCAAAATTAGAAGTTAAGGCAACTAAACAAATCACAATCACATGTAAACAAAATAACGGTCAAATGTGAGGTTCCTAAATTGTACTGGTTGCCTGGTAACCCTGAGCGCTAGAGACGTGAGCGGAAGGTGTGACGTTACGTGTTTGCCTTCTCCCATTTCAATACAGTGTATTATAACATTACTACTTGTTAAAATGCGTTTATTTTTGTTAAAACAACTGCTAATAGGGAGTTTTTAGGCCCCTTAACTGCAACACATTTTACGTTAATTGTTATTCTGAGCATGCGCATTAGTAAAGAAATAACCGTTTACGTTATTGGAGGATAACGCGTTTCTTTATTTCTTTATAACGATTCGAAGTTTTTTTCACTGAAACTACTTTGTGCACTTGCGTGTAAAGGGTTCTTTAAGGGAAAATCAGAAAGAACGCGAAGCAACGATTGACATGAAGTACATGACCACCAAATTTTCCATGAATCGATACATGGCACGCATTGTTATTTCCCTTAGCTAATTTGAGAGATGAGATGAGTGAGAGTTGTAAACATAACCTAATATATTTCAAAGATGTTTTCCCTTCTTTCACAAAAATAAGCAACATTATTGACTTCTAATAGTGGTAAGTTTTTAAATTGTTCTTAAGTTTGGAATTTGAGAACTGTATTCTAGATGATGACTGTAACAAACGCCCGGTCGATTATGAAACGCTTCTTTAGCTCAGTGGCGCAATCGAGAAACTGCCTTCAACATTTAAAAGAGCGTAGTCTTGTGCAAGTTAAAGGGCCCGACGCTTCTAACTTTTTACAAGGGTTGATCACAAATGATATCAATCATCTAAGCGATAGAGTTGGAAGTATGTTTGCAATGTTTCTTAATATTAGGGGACGCATATTATTTGATACGCTGATCTATAAAACCGAAGTTAAAGACGAGTATTGGATTGAATGCGATCGAATAGCAAGTACTACGCTACAGAAACATCTCAAAATGTACAAAGTTAAGCGACAAGTGGATATAACTGGTTTAGATGACTATGAAGTGCATGTTCTTTATAGTTCCAAATTTCTTGACACTTCAGTCACTGACTTTAAAAGTGTAATTGAGAATGCTGGGAAAAGTGATTTCCCAGAAAGTTCCGCTGGTTTCAGATCTTTTAATAGTCTGTTAATATTTAAAGACCCCAGAGTGCCACATATGGGCTTCAGAATACTATCAAAACGGATAGATGTTCAAAGTGTGTTAAATAGTTTGGTGGAATGTGACGATTCGAACAGTTATAGAAAACTCAAGTTTAGCTTAGGAATTGGAGAAGGTATAGAAGACTTACTTTCCGGAAGCTCATTTCCGTTAGAATGTAACTGTGATTATTTGCACGGAGTTAGTTTTCATAAGGGCTGTTACATAGGACAAGAGTTAACGGCCAGAACATATCACACAGGAGTAATCAGGAAGAGGTTGATGCCGTTACATTTTTCCAAAGTTCCCACGGCCCTACCCGAAGGAAATATCGTTATAAATAAGTCTAATTTAGGAAAATTAAGGGGTATTGAAGGCAACGTGGGTTTAGCTTTATTAAGAGTTGCTGAAGCCTTAGAACTCGGTAGTATTACAGTTGGAAATGGAGAAGCTTCAATAGTTAAACCATTTTGGTGGCCTGTAGAATTACCTAAAGAGAAATTAAACGTACCTACTCCAGTGTAAATAATCAATGTTTCAATAAACTAGTCCAGATAATGTTTTTTATTTCTTCAGGAAATAAATGCTCGTTTTTTTCCAGAAAACATGGAGACCTTAAAGTCCGAGTTTGCCGATCAGAGCGATGCGCCGTTAATCATCGCAGCAGACGTAAAACCCGAATCTGAGAAAAGTGAAAACATTCCTAATCTAATAAAGAAAAGTGCGAATGAGTTGCAATACTTTGAATGCATTTTATGTGGACTGAGAGAAAAGTATGATTATTTCGGAAAATTGCCACCCTATCAAAAATATTTTTTGTTGCAAGAAGATTCCTATGTTATTGAAGATCCGTTTATTCCACCAAAACAAGAGGAATTTTTGATTCTAGGCTCACATTGCATTGTGTGTAGAAGAATGGTTTGCAAAGATGCTAATTGCCGTATTTTTTATAACGGCACATTATGTATAGATTGCACAAAAAGTAAACGGTTTGACTTTCCTAAAGTTGTACAAGATAAACTAAATAGAATTGTCAAGTAAATGCTTTATTAAGAACAATATCAATTGTTAAACATCTAAATTACGCTGTATTTTCGAAACAGAAAGCTGTTTAGCAAGGTTTTTCTTTTCCAAGCTGCTCCTACTACCTTTTCCCAACTTCTTTTTCTGTAACAACATATTAAGCGTGAATGTATTATTTCATTCATTTCAACAAATGAGTGTCTAATTAGTGAGTTAATTGTTACCTTTTTCATATCATCGAATTTTGTTCCAGCGAATGAGCCTGTATTTGCATTCCCTTTAACTTTTGGTTCAGCGGGTTGCGTATCATCATTTTGTTTGCCCTTCAAAATAGGCTTTCCTGCTTTACTCCTTAGCTTCTTTTTCTGAAATAATTTTATGACCATTAATTCCCATAACTAATTTACCAACAGGTTGATTCAGAATTAGCATCAATTCCCTGGAGGAGTTGGTAATACCGAAAAAACAGAATTTTTTTTCAAAAAAAATCCAAGAATTTAATTGGATAACAGTATAACCTTCCAAGAACCTAAGTTTAAGAATAGGGTCTTTCTTCAAGGGACCTAAAGTTTACGATTCCAGGTATGTCCTTTTGTTGCCCATGAAATTTGAAAATGTGTCGCTAGTCGACATAACCCCAGCACAAGGGGGGGGTTGGGGTCGTGACCCCGATGACGTCACGGTTGATCATGACATTGGTATCGTTGGATAGAGAGTTTAGAACTCGATTCAGTCAGAACAACATGAATAAGGAAATTCGAGTAGTTTTGACCCAGAAAGCAAAACATTTTAATCAGACACAGGTGCAAGATTATGCCAAAATTTCATGCTTTCCATCCCGTTTTTGCTTATTTTTACATTATTCCAGAGCGAAATAAATGGCCTTTTAAAAAGTTAACCATCGATAAGGAAACGTCGGTAGTTTTCTCAAAAAAGTCTTGATTTCAAGGAGTTTTAGATCACATTTTTTTGCTAGGTTGGAATTGAGCTGGAGCTCAGGACACGCATGCTCCGTTGCTATGTGTTCTCTGTCCTTCTATACGACAGTGATAGATGGCCCCTTATATGAATGTATGAACAGAAGGAACTGCTTTAAACGATAAAAGAAAGATAACACAGTATCTTGGACATATTATCGCAGCCGATACGAAATCCTGAAACTCATCATCGAAGGGAAGATTCAGGGAAAAAGATCCATTGGAAGTCGCCAGAACTCATGGCTGAAGGACATCCGCAGGTAGTTTAAGCGCACATCCACAGAGATTTTCCGAGCAGCTGTTTTCAAAACCACACTGGCCATTTGGATCGCCAACCTTCATAAGGAGACGGCGAAATAAATGCTACCCTAAGAAACTATCAAAACAAATATACTTTAGAGACATACAGACGAGGTGAGCAGGGTTCCAACCAAACAGGGTCTCATGAAGTCAAAGATGATATTAAAGCACCCTAAATTATGAAAAGCCCTGTACATTCAAAAACATTTTTAGAATGTTCCTTGCCTCAAACAATTTTTATCCCGTCAAAGACTTGAAGATGATGGGGGCTGTTCAAATAACATTTAAACAATGGATACAGTTATTGTCCAAGTTTACGTTTCAATGCTGAATTCCTGAAACGGTGCGCTTTTGTTACCGATTCCCGGGAAGATCCCAAATCAGCCGTATCTGTCGGGCCAATTGGGAAACTTAGACACCCCGCTAAGCGGTACAACTGCTCGAATTGCATGGCAAGCGTGAAAGCCTTGATGCAATTGGTGATTGTTTTCGTTTCCAAGTAGTTCACTTAACAGAATGCACTACATACCAAATGTCTACTACAAAGGGCATTGTGAAATCAGAAGGGCAACAATTGTTACATAACTGTGCTCTTTTCACTATTGAAAGTTTAAGTTCTTGTAGCGACCACCCAACAGAGCCGAGCACAGAGCGTGGGAAATACCCTGTTTCCCTCACCCTGCACTTCTGATGTCGTCTTTACCTCAGTCGACAAAAGTGACCAGAGATCACAGTTTGTTGTTTCACCTCAAGTAGAACACAGTTGTTCCTCCTCAAGTCGTACACAGTTTGTTGTTTCACCTCAAGTAGAACACAGTGTGTTGTTTCTCCTCAAGTCGTACACAGTTTGTCGTTTCACCTCAAGTCGTAAACAGTTTGTTGTTTCACCTCAAGTAGAACACAGTTTGTTGTTTCAGCTCAAGTAGAACACAGTTTGTTTTTTCACCTCAAGTAGAACACAGTTTTTTGTTTCACCTCAAGTCGTACAAATCGGGAGTGTTTCGCCTCAAAGCAATACACATCGCAGACTCTGGCAGAGAAGTTTCTCAAAACCCAGCCCGTAATTATTCACCCTCAAATCAAATCAGTGCTCAAGTGAACTAATTGGAAACAGTTCCCCACTCAAGTAGAATTACTCCACTCAGCCGATTTTAAAGAACGTACTGCCCAGGCCAATTAGAAAAAGTGTCAAAATCAAACAATCTCACAAACATTTTGGTCCTTCGAGCCGGATATCAAACATTTTGGTTCTTCCAGCCGGATATCAAACATTTTGGTCCTTCGAGCGGATATCAAACAGCAATATTGCAACTAATAATAATCATATACGAAGAAAATAAACGAAAACATTTTCAATATGTTTCTGACTCTTCTTCATTACGTCCTAATTCCTCCACAGAGTAATTACGAAAATGCTCAATAGCATTTTGTGTAAATATACAATTTTATATTTTGAAATACATACCGATTGTTTTTTGGCTCTATTAGCTTCACATAATGACACTCTGAGCTCTCTATCTTTCAGAGTGAATGTTTCTCTTTCCAATGCGAATTGTACTGAATCACTGTCTTTAAAATTGACATAACCAAATCCTTTACCAATACCAGTTCGCCCGTCTCTTACAATACGAACATGCGATATCGGTCCACAAATCTTGAATAAGTCCCAGAGTTCTTCATCTTCAGCTGCTGTAATTAAAATTGCTTGTAATTTATTTATTCCATATTAACACGGGTAACATGATGAAATAAAGGGTGATGAAATAAAGGATAACGTTAGACGCAACGTCTAAAAGACTTTCCCAGCCAATACTCGACTTTTATAAAGAGCTACCCTTTACGTCAACAACAGCTACAGCAGATAATAGTGATTCCGATTAGAAGTGTGTAGTTTAGGTTAGATAGTTTGCAGAATGAATGGGAACAGACTAGTCTACGTACCGCTTATAATTACAAGTTAAAAGTTTTCTATAACAAACAAATATAAGAAAAGCAATAAATCTGTATCTAACTGTTTAAAACACTAGCTTCATACGGCAACAAGTCATAAAATCATTACTAACGTCTTTAAAATGAATAAAACAAGTACTTTTTGTGACATTATTGTTATGAGACGGTCTGCTAACAACAATCGCAGAGCAAATTTATGAATCAGACTTTAGTCTGTTGTTTATTACAATTTCAAAAAACCTGTAATCTTTAACATTGAACTACTCAAAACAATGATTTTTGACTTGTTGCTATATGGAACTGAACAATCGATATGTTCAGTTAATTAAAATTGTCGGATTCATATGCAGTGCTGTAAGAACTAGTAAAATAATTAGTAGTAAAATTGCATAAATCTCTAATTTTTGCCCACCTTATAAATTATATGGGAATATTTCAGGTCGTGTAATGTCCTGTGTAAGCACATAAACAACACAAAAAAGTTAATATTCTGCATGACAAATAATAAAAGCGAATTTGAATCCTTATACGGTGATATACTTACTAAATGGAAGATTTCCAATAAAAACTGCCTTTGATTCGTCAGGTTTTGCATCTGATTCGCAAAACTGCACTCTCAGGTGATGATCATAGAAAAGAACACCATTTTCAGCTTCAGCTTTTTTCGCATCTTCAGACTCTTTAAACCTTCAAACATCAAAGTAAAACTGTATGAGAACAAATTGAAAATAAAAATTGGAAAAATTATTTTTGAGGTTTAATTCACTCGCAATACATACCTTATAAAAGCGCAAACCGAATTCCTATCCGGATGAAACTCCTTTTTCAATGCTGCCACCTTTTTTGATGTCTTAATATCAGCAACAGCTATGCCTCTAATTCTTAAGCTATCTATAGCTCCATACTTTTTAAAATGCTTCTTAATTTTATCTTTTGATACCGAAATTGGCAGATTTCCCACAAATAAAGTTTTGTCCTTATACTCGCTAGAACTCTTGATTTCCTGATTAAATTTGTTTTTGATGCGATTTGCCGCACTGACTTCATTTGTAACAAGTTTTGGCTTCTTAAATGAGTCTGCCGAATTATCATCTGCATTCGCATCAGTTTTTTCTTGGTCACCTTTTCGCTTTCGTCCCAAGTTTCCTCTAAATGCCCTTGACTCTATCTTCTGAACTTGAGGAGTTTCAACTTTCACCTTTTTTATTGTTTTTTTAGATACATCGCTTACTATTTTATGTTTCTTTCTTCTATTGCTTGGTACATTTGGTTCCGACGTTTCATCAGAGTGATTTTTGGAACGCAATGTGTTCTTACCAACGTTAGCAGAATCTAGATCGGTTTTTGTAAGCATCTTAAATGGTCTTTGTACCAGTTTCGTTTGATTGTCAGACTTGTTGCCTGAAATAAGTTCAGCCAAACTACCCACAGTGTACTCCATTGTTAAACGATGAATTACAACTGCAAGATTTTTCCAAATAAAACAGGATCCACTGTACAAATGACTAACTTATATTTGCAGCACGCTGAAAACCAAGATTTTAAGGTTATGGTCACAGGAAAAGGCATGGTTATGGTTAGATCATAGATAGACCGGCTAAGTTGGCACCAGCGTTGCCAGATGATACACTTCGAAAGCGGTTAGATATTTTTCCTTCCTTTACTCGTACATTGGATAGGAAAAAAAATCTTATTTACGTAACTTAATTTACATAAAATTATAATATACCTCGGCGGCTGACGGAATACTAAAAAAAACCCTTTTGTACTACGAATTTTCGGGAGTTATCCTTTAAAACTTGTAGTCCTCTCCTAACATTTATATGTGTAGGTAAATTGTGTACGGCCGCTCCGTAGACGCTAGTCGAATTCTCGTTCTCTAAAAGTTATACAGGCAACGTTGCAATAAAATCACAATGTCAATTTGACATGACAGTCATGACACTCTCGCTTTGATTTCTCCCAGTTCGTTCGCGTTCTCCAAACCTTGTTTTTATTAGTGGATTTCAACTAGTTAAAATGGCTACTAAAAGTAAAAATGCTGCCTTTGAGGATCTCTCAAATGTGGAGTTCGAAACGAGTGAAGATGTGGAAGTTGTGGATAGTTTTTCGGATATGCAACTCAAAGAGGAGTTAACAAGAGGGATTTATGCTTATGGTAAGTGTGCTTTTTAGGAAAACATAAATTGCCGAAACCACCATAGTTTCTGCTGTTATTCCTTTCACTGTCCTATATTTTTCGTCGAATTTGATACTTGAGTGTTCGCATGAAGCTCTGGGTCATGAAACATATTCTGATTTGAGGTTATATTTAAGCAACATGGTAACTTTTTATATATTCAACTAAAATCTTCATTAAAGTAAAAAGTCGGTTTTAACTGGAAAATGAAAAATTGTTTCAACTTAAAGTTTGTGAACGATCATATCGTCGGCTAGTGATCGTGTTGTTGGAGTCCCGCCGAATTTTTTTAGTTATTTCTTTTCTACCTTGAAGAACACCTCAAATTAATCACTTTCAGCGAAAACAATTCCTGGATGGTCCATAAACTAAGCCAAAAAACACTTACAAACTTTTAAAGTTCGCGTTTTCAAAACCATCTATTTAAACACCGGGTAACAATTTTTATTGTCACCCCGTAATTATATTTAGCGTAATTTACAGACAGTCACTTGATAATAATTTTTTTTTTAGGTTTTGAGAAGCCGTCAGCGATTCAGCAGAGGGCGATATGGCCCATAATAAAAGGAAGAGATGTGATTGCCCAAGCGCAATCGGGTACGGGAAAAACTGCCACATTCTCAATTTCTATTCTACAATCGATTGACTTAACTGTTCGTGAGACTCAGGTTTTATGCCTCTCACCGACCAGAGAACTAGCAGTTCAGATTCAAAAGGTAATTTTGGCTCTGGGCGATTTCCTGAACGTTCAATGTCATGCTTGCATTGGAGGTACGAACCTGGGAGAAGATATTCGGAAATTGGATTACGGACAACACGTTGTTAGTGGTACCCCAGGCAGAGTTTACGGTAAGTGTAATTAAAGCTCTAGGAGTTTCCGTCTCAAACTTAAGACGATAATTTTCCACTGGTTTTTCTTCGGGATTGCTTCACTTTCCCGGCCTGGTCCATAAAACTTTTCAATAAACAGCGCTACAGATTGCTAGTTGGGCATCGAAATAATTGAAGTTAAGATTTGAAATTGAATAGTTAAACTTTGCATTATTTATGTTCGTTTACACAGTTTGCGAGAAAGTTTCCGGATTGGCAGATTCTAGTTCGACTAAACAGAATGTTTCGTACTTTTTGCGTAGACAAATGAAACTGCAAAGCATTTTTTAGGTATAGGGTGTCTCTAAATTGTTGGTCAAGGATAGTAAGACGTTTCAGAAGACGTGAAAATAAGGCCATGACTTCAAGTAAGGATATTTCCGATTTGACTTCTTGGCGAAATTTAAAAATTTTATTTATTAAAGACAAGAATTTTGTCGGTACCATCCGAGCAAGAAATCATGTAAGATAGTGCACGATCTGAGCTGGGTCAGGCCGACGGTGGGGATTTTATTTAACGTTTTTTTATGAAATGTAGGAAATTCTCTTCTCGACCTTTTGTCAGTGTCAAATTTGACAGCAGCTTCCATGGCAACCGGTTTTCGGTCCTTTTATAGCGAATTTACAGTCGAAATTGGCTGAAATTACATAGCGCCATTCTGGGGCTGGTGTTTATGTTAAATGTTTACATAATTTTTACTTTTTGTATATCTCGAAAACGGCTGTAAACGTAAACTGTCAAAAACGAAAACGTAGAGTGACTAAATTTGGTGTGCAATGTCAAGAGCGATTGAATATCAAGTTTGATTGCCATGGTAACCGTTGGCCTGCTGTCAAATTTGACGTGAACTGATTGGCTCGATACGAAAATGATGGGAAGGAGCAAGGAAATGGAAACAAGTCCCCCTCAACAATGCGGTTGCTATGATGGTAACCGATTTTTTTCTCCGTATCGCTTTCGATTACACCAATGGGAATTTCCAAAATTTTCAGGTCGACTTGGATGTCACAGCCAATTTGAGTCATGACAACTATTTGACAGCTGTCAAAATTTCGTCTCTACGTCTTTCGACTTCTCCATCACAGTTTGGTGTCGTAATTCAATTGATCAATGTTAATTTGACAGATTGAGAGGTTTTTTTCTCGGTAACGTTTTCTGTTTCACCGTCAATAGATCCCATTTCGCATTACTTTATTCACTTTTATGCGAAATGATGGATCGAGGCGCCATCCATTAGCTACAGTCGGAAACAATTTCCATACGGTTTGCTTTACATTTGGCGCACCCACCACCATCTATGAATTAACATCAAATTCGTCACACCATCTAGCTTGCGAATCTGTGCGTCTATAGCATAACAGCTCCCTAAAAACCAATTTCTGTTAAGCAGGAAGAGGAAGTTTATTGAGAGTTACTGCAACAGGCGAAATTCAGCCTACAGTTTGGAGAATTCTGAAAAATAACTATCCATTTCTTTACAAACTTCTTGTTGGGTATTTCGCCTCAAAACTTTTTATCTWTAAAAAARACAGAATTTCCTCACGTCTTTTATTACAGATTGATAAATAGTGCTYCTATTTCGCAATAAGAACGAAATAAAAAAGGAAATTMTGTCTTGATTTTWGAAGACAAMAATTTTTGAGGCGAAATACCCAACAAGAAGTTTGTAAAAAAGTGAATCCGCCTCAACAATATARAACTTATCTACAGGGTGATTCAAAATTGGCGTCATTCCTCTGGAGGTGTTGTCTGACGCTGTTATAGGAGTWCAGAAAAATTAGTAAAATAAATTAATTGTTATTAAAAACTAAGAAATTTGCAAAAAACTATATCAGTAATATGGCAGCAATGTTTTTCAAGGTAATCTGCCTGGTAATTAACATTGCGCAAATACCTGTTGCTTCGTAATTATTTAAAATTCCGGTAACCATGGAATTATACAGAGTGACAATAAGATAGACAAGGAGACAAGGTAAATTCAACAGGAGCCGTTGAATGACGGAACCTATTTCGAAATGTCAACCTGTTCTTATAACCTCGAATAATGGTGTTTATAAATCAACCATACAACACCAAACATTTGAATGGTTAATTCCAAACAAGCTAGTGCCTGTGTAATCTCCCTATTATCCAGTCTTATTAAGCAGCTTTTCGTATTCAGTTAATTAACTCCTGCTCCATTCGTATCTCCTTGTGCTGTGTGTATCGTACAAACGTGGTAGGAATGTAGCCCTTTCTCGGTATTTATTTGGTGCTTGGGAAAGTGTCAGTTATTGTGCCCTGAGTGCCCCTGGAAGGCCCCGATTCGATTATGTCCAATACTTGTTCCTCGGTGCCTGGAACCCGAACATCGATTGTCGTCCACTGTCTTCCTGGAACCACTCTCCTCGCCCTTTGTTGACTTGAGTTCTTTCAGCTTCTGCTGTTACTGTAGCATTTTCCCCGAACTAATCGCATATCCGCAAATTCGTGAAAGGAAATTGAAAGTAAGTCACAGTTTGACAAATTATTGTTATTACTGACAAAGGCTGTCTACCTGTAACTATCTGTTAATGGCTAAAAACATCATTGCCGCTTTGACTTTCCATCTAAAAATTGTAGAAGAGAACTTTTTTAATATCGAAAATTTTCGGAATTTGAAGCAAAGATCGTAATTTTTCTTTTGGAATGCTTAAGTATTCTAATATGCTTCCAATTACACGTGGAACAATTTCAAAATAATGCTTAATAACAAAGTTGAAATTCGATCTTCAACTGTTAAGATCTTCTAGAAATTATCGAAAAAAAAAATTTCAAGATTTTTCTCGTACTCCCCAAGGGAGCCTCTATCACCCCCTTAAAAGGAATGACGCCAATTTTGAATCACCCTGTATATCAATTTTGTTTTACTCCTGTACGGAATTTGGGGCCGCATTTTCGACAAGAACGACAACCAAAAAAATGTCTTAACGATTAGGTGACTTTCCTGGCCGTGAAGTTTTTAACTGGCGAAATAATAATCTGTGGGACTCTGAGGCCGTTATGCGCTCTTACGATGCGCCGGCCGTTGTCGTTCGCTGGAACCAATTTCGGTGTCACAGTCGATCGCCTGAGCATCTGACGCATGCGCATTTTAAGGTACAGATGGATGTAGGCATCTTTGAGCGTTCACCAAAGCTATTTTGTGAGCAAAAATTCTAAAACTTTTCGTATTTTTTTGCACTGTTTTTGTTTTCAAATTTTTAGAATGAATTCAGCAATTTCAATAATTTTGAAAAAATTGCGAATCTATAGGACAACTGTCATCTTAGAGGCAACAATTTTTTTCAGAATTTTTAAAGCGTATATTGGACAGGTATTTTTGGTATTTGGTATGGAGCAGTCACTACAAATTTAGAGAAAATAAAACGCTTCCGCGTTAACCGGTTCTTCAAGCGGGTCGCGAGGTGGCTGCTTCTGGAACCGGACTGCGAGTTAGCCGGTTATTCCCTCGGCCGGCGATATCAGCCCTAAAACTAATCAATTATTGTTTTTCGTATTTACTTATAGCTTGCACTATTAAGCAGGCGCCAGATCTGGGACCTAAAATAAATCGGACAAAGTTTTTTGATAATACGAAGTAACATACGTCACTCTAACCGTCTGTAAAGACCGGTTAGAGTGCTCCTTTGCTATATGGCTTTGCCTACTCTAGCTATGACGTTCAGACACGTTGAGAAACCCACCATAAGTTATAGAACCTGAAATTGGGCATACGTATACTAGCTTTATTTGTTTCCCACATTTGAACGACCGTTTTATGCCATCTAATTGAATTCAAAAGCCAGTTTTAGTAGCAAATATTTTAGTTGGGCAAATTAAGAACAGTGATGGTTTAAGGTTTGAATTTATTTTCCAGATATGATTCGCAGACGAGCTTTAAGGACCAGATCTGTAAGAATGTTGGTGCTCGATGAAGCGGATGAAATGTTAAACAAAGGGTTCAAAGAACAGATTTATGATGTCTACAGATTTCTGCCACCATCCACTCAAGTTGTTCTCATATCCGCTACTCTGCCTCACGAAATTTTGGAAATAACTTCCAAATTTATGACGGATCCGATTCGAATTTTGGTGAAGCGTGATGAATTGACGCTTGAAGGAATCAAACAATTCTTTGTCGCTGTGGAACGGGAAGAATGGAAATTTGATACCCTTTGCGACTTATATGACACATTGACCATTACTCAGGCCGTCATCTTTTGCAATACGAAGAGGAAAGTAGACTGGCTGACCGAGAAAATGAGAGAGAGTAATTTTACAGTCAGCGCTATGCATGGTGACATGCCACAAAAGGAACGAGATAATATTATGAAGGAATTCCGGTCTGGTCAAAGCCGAGTTTTGATCACCACAGATGTATGGGCAAGAGGTAATTTTGATTGTTTTATGATAATATTTTTCATGTATGTATGGTTTATATTTGTTTGGTTTGACTATAGTGGTTAATTGTCCGATTCAAACACTTCGTGTGCTGGGAAAATGTTGATGACCTTTTTTTAGTTGTTTTTATATTTATTTTAAGGACCATTTATTAATAATGTTTTTAGAATTTCTTCAAATTTTCAGTTTTTGCAAAGTTACTCTTTCTTCTACATGCTCAATTTTCTAAAGTTTTATTTAAAAATACCGACGATCTTTAGCGATTTTCTGTGAAAAATTACAAGGTACATTTTATTCGAACACTCGCCTTCGTCGCTTGATAAACAGTTTTGAAATCCCTTTCCAACTTCGAACAAAATCAAATAATTTTCTATCAAAAAAACGAATAGAGTAAGCCGAAGTTTATAATAACTTATTTGGAAAACTCGCCACTTCCATTTCTCTGAAAAAAGTGGTTTTTTAGTTTGGACTGATTTTTTTTTGCTTTACTTTCTACTCAAAAACGCTCTATTTTGTAGAGTTTCACTTCACTGACGATCTGGAATTCTTTAACGCGCATAATTACAAGATAAATTTATAGCTTTGTAGCAATTTTACGAAAACATTTTTGAGCGTCGAATTCGGGACAGAAACGGAAATAAAATTCTCCCGTTTATCCCTCAAAACCATTAAGGTTTTCTCAAAAACCGATGACACACCTAAAAGTTTTTAATCAAAGACGCTCAAACCATTATTTTCTGATGATATTCTTCTGTTGTGACAAAAACTTGCGATGTTCATGTTGCTGGGAAATTCACTCATTTATCGGTTTGCAGGGAACTTTAGAAAACCATTACCAGCTTCGAATTTTGGTTGAAAAACCAAAATAATTTTATTCAGTTTTTTACCTAAAGTAATTAAGACTATCTTGAAAAAAAGACCAGAGAGCAAAAGTTTACAAAAAATTATTTGGAAAATTCGGCTCCCTCATTGCTCTCAATATGTTTAAAATTTCAGGTCATTGCAGTTTTAGCAAAGTTTMTATAAAGCAATTTTTTCTACGCAAAAACGCATTAGTTTTTAGTTTTACTTAAATACTGACAATGTTCATGTATTTTCCGCGAAAAATTATCAGATACATTTTATTTGAACCCTCGCCTCCTTCGTCGATGTGTAAAAAGKTTKGAAATTCCTTTCCAGCTTCGAATTTGGGACATAAATCTAATCACTTTTTTCTGTGTCTTTCTCAAAATAATTCCCCGATCTGAAAARGCGAAAATTTATAATCATTTATTTTGAAARCTCTTGGAAACTGGAATTTCTTCACTTTTAGGTCAATTAAAGAACACTGTCTCTAAACAGAAAACTTTTTTCTACCGTTTTACTGTAAAATACTGGCAAACTGAGACTTATGTAAAAAAATTAGGAGATCGGTTTTACAAGAAAACTCGTCGACTTTCTTTGGACTCCGTTCTGTTGCTGGAAAAATCTAGATGATTTTTTTAGTTGTTTGAACAAAGTAGTAAAAGGTTACTCAGAAAAAATGTTAATTTTTTTAGACGAGAAAGTTACAGGCCCATGTCTCGTAAAGTTTTTTATTAGTTTTGTTGGCATAATTAAAACGCCCGTACCTTTTGAATAATTTAAATGAACTTTTTGTGGAGATTTGCTATTTCAGTGGAGTCTGGCAACACGCTCGTGCGTAGTTTGACCTGTTGTTATTATCGGCTGGCAAAAACCCCTGATCATAACAATTACCCAGATTTTTTGTATTAGTCTAATCCATCACTAGCTGAGTCATTCGTTAACCGGATGGACCTTTCAATACGAAATCATTTACGCCCTAAGAATGTTTTTTTTTGTTATATTTGTTTATGTAAGATAGTGCAAGTTTCGCGGTTCGCCAACCTCAAGCAGCCCCAGGACCGGTTTCGGGCCTATTAGTTCTTTAAACTTAAATAGTTCCCCCCTCCGTTAGCACCTGAGGTTGGCGCACGTCGAATCTAGCACTATCTTACATGATTTCTTGTTCGGATGTTACCGACGAAATTATTGTCTTTATTATATTTATTAGCTTACGTTCATTCTGAATCTTTTCAGGAATTGATGTACAACAAGTCAGCTTGGTGATTAATTACGATTTGCCGAACAATCGTGAATTGTACATCCATCGAATTGGTAGGTCCGGCCGATTTGGACGTAAAGGTGTTGCCATCAACTTTGTCAAATCAGATGACATCAGGATTCTTCGTGATATCGAACAATATTATTCAACACAAATTGATGAAATGCCTATGAATGTGGCTGATCTTATATAAGTTATTTTCAGTAATTTTTTTTTGTATTTAAATGTAATATACTTACATTCGATTTTGTAACATCAAATGCTTTTTCTACTGGGAATCTAGTTGTTCGAATTAACAGGTTTTTCAAATGTCTTATTTATAGTTTATATCCAAAAAAATGTGCACTTCCATTGTTCCGATTTAATTTCATAATGTAATTCTTTCGCAAATAAAAAAATATATCAATTTTCTTGTGAATTTGTCAGACTGGAAAAACGTAAACAGGTTTATTCGGGCCAGTGCCCTACACAACTTCTAACCACAGAGTAAGTAMAATATATATTTTACTTTCTCTATGTTGTATACATTCGCGTAGCGTTTATGGCTATGGTACATACGTTTTTAATAGYTTCTCCTTTGGAAAGGTACTTAAASRAGGWGAAAATGAAGTCCTGCGTGYTCCATTAYATGTCCTTATGAAATGYATTGAATAAACAAGGCTTGCCTATTGATAACATTTATCAACACAAACWCTACACTTAAACAAATTTGCTTCTTGTCAAATTATGACGAACTTCCTAAAATGTTCAAACTAATTAGTGACGAGCAAAGCAAGATCARRACCTTCTCTTGGTCAAGAGAGCAAGTCTTGCTGTTGTGCTTGTGCTTCTATACATAGTCTTGGTCTTGGTTTTGCAAGTCTTGCTTTTATATAAGCCCCAAMATGAAACGGAATTAATTTTATAATAACAAGAATAATAATTAAATTAAAAGATAATAAGCCATAAAAAAATTTCAGACTAAARTTTAATTATTTTACACCAGGAGCGCTGGCATCGACAATTTTGGAGATTTGGTGACAGCGCGTGTCGATGACAAGTGATGCTCAGTCTTTACCTATGGTCAGTCACAAACCTAAAGYTATTTTGATACTTATTTCTTACATTATTTTGTTGCAAAATGCGGTTTTAATGTTCCGTTGGCGATGGCMTTGTCTTTATATATGGCTAGTTGTGAGAAAACTTCTAAAGAAGTGAAAACGCATTTTTTGTCTTGGCTCTAAGTCTAAAGTTCTAAGGTCTTGGTAAGCTGGGCCTACATATTTATAAGTTGTACAACCGTACGGCTGATGCTTTTTGCCTGAATATTAAAGCATGTGGGTAGTGTTGACTATTTATTTGAAACATGCACCCTTTGTTATCAAACTTTTGTTTTGCAGATAAGATAAAAGGGGTGCCGATACTTATATACTAATAGAAATGCTTTAATTGATGTGAACGACAGACATCAGCGCAAGGGCGGACCCAGCTTTCGAGTCAAGGGGGGGGTCAAGTAGTACAAATTCAGTACTTTGTTGTCTATGAAATTAGAAAAATTATCGTTAGTGGCAATAAACCCAGTACAAGGGGGAGGGGGTTGTGACCCCGATGACCCCACTGGATCCGCCCTTGCATCAGCGACACAAGTTTAGGGTATGCGATATACATTTCACCGACAAGTTAAAGTTTGTCATAAAACTATTTTGAGACTAGTAGTCATATTTTGATCATCATATTTGGTCGGTAGTTAGCTGAAAGCCCAAGCCAACCCCCCCGGATGACTTAAATGTACGCATTTTGGTGCCTGCAGCCTACAAGCATTGATATAAAAAGTCAAAAAAATCAGTTTTTTTAAATGGTACGTACTGACTTTTTTGGTTCTGCTTGAAAATCTCACAGGACCAACAAAAATGGTTTTTTGGCATTTTCAATGATAAATTAACTTGAATAGCATTTGAATTTGGCGGTTTAATCACCCGCCCGCGTCGCTAACGGCGCCACTGTCTAAATAGTTATTAGATCAAAGATACCGACCATCTGTCTTTATCTATGATGCAGGCGGCGAGTGCTCTAGCTGTATGCACAGAACATACCCATTGCTTTAGAATTCAATGTTCCACACTTTATACGAATGTTATGTTGTAGTGCATTTCTTTTTCCATTTTGTAAAATTCAGCCCATCCTTTCTTAATGCTATATTATTATACCTGCTTATTTTGGATTCTTAGAATAATTAATTAAAATTAGAATCAGTACTTTTGGTAGGATTATTATTTTAATTAGTACCTACATTTTTCTGAAGTGACATTACTACTAAATATAAAGTAAAACTTTGTATCTTATTTTCTCGAAACGAAAGCAACTCGTGGCTGAACAGGTGGAAAATCTTTTAATTCTACAAATTTCGTCATCGTCCAGATGGAAATTCACTTTATTACTAAATAAAAATGTTCAATCGATTTACATGTATCTGAACACACTTTAAAACTTGAACTCTTTGTATTTTTTAGTGGTCTTGGATTCTTGCTGTTGCCTCTTGCGTTTGCTCTAAAATTAATAAGAATTACACACCAATTAAACTAACTTGACAAAAGGGTCAAAAAATCGTAAACATACCTTTTGCTTTGCAACATGCTCAGCCAGCATATCACTCAAATCCTCTTTCTGCAATTGGGACTGATTTTCCCTGATCTGTTGCTCATATCTTACGGCCATAGCATCACTGTCCATGTCAAGCTCAGACGGATCAAGAGCTAATTCGACCATTCCTTCTCTTTCATTAGGTCTACAAATGTTTATATTTAATTAGTAGACATTAGATTTTAGCACTAAATTTTCAGCCAGCATTCTTTCGAAAAAATTCAAAAGGGTTTTCTAGCTTTGTCAGTCGGAGGCACCTGAGAACTGGTTTTAAACCTCAGGCTGATTTTCGCTTGCAAATGACGCATCCAAAACGTTGTTTTTTAAATTTATAGCAATGAAACTACCCGTGAGAATCTACTGCGGCCTTCAACAAAATCTCGCTTTCCGCAAAAATTTCAGTTCGATAATCTTAACAATTGCAGTATACCTTCACTTAACAAAGGTGCTGGGTCTTGCTTATGCGGTCCCTACTATTCTCTTATGTTGCATAGAAATAATGAATTAGTTGACTATACCTTCTGATTGGAACGGGATTCTGAGCAGCGCCCATAGAAGCCAGATCATATACGTGTGTACTTGCCATCATAGCATTTCCAATGCGGTCGTTCCGTTTCTCCGGTATTATGTGATAAAGTACGGGCGTTTCACTACTACAATAAAAAATAGTAGATGAAATGTAACCACTTGTCAATCATAGAAAATTATGCAATGCGTACCCTTCCATTTCATTCTCAATTTTCTTCTTCCTGAGTTCAATTGCTTCAGGTGTTTCCATTCCCGCCGGAATGCTAGTAATACCGCTTGGAGTAGCTAATCCTTCAGTAGGTGTTACAAAACCTAAAAAATACTTTCAATCAAAATAAGTTTGCTTTAACGGGATGCCCATAAATTACGGGGTAGGTGGGGGGTCATGATTGGTCAAAAAAAAACTTACATAATTTATGGACAATCCCTATGCACCGAATTTTTCTAATCAAATCTTGAAAAAACGCTGAAATTAAAATAGTAACAAAATCAATTACCTGACTCGTCCGGTGGTTGTGTTTCAGTTTCCTCTTCCTCGTCTTCCTCTTCACTTTCTTCCTCCGACTCCGATTCAAGCTCACCCCATAGAGTTCTATCCACTGAAGGATCTTCGCCGATATCCTAAAATATATTTATTTACTGAAAGAAATATATTTGACTTTCTAGCAGATTAAAGACGAAGCATAACCTGCAGCTTCAATTCGGMTAAAGTGCCAGTAAAACRAAATTTTCGTAGATGTGCATTTTAATTCACCGCTTTTCGCTGGCTTTGGGCATTCATAAAACATGTGTCCATAATTTAAAAAGGGGTTGCCAAAGCGTGAATTCAAGCTAAGTAATTTGAAAACAAGCGACATGCTCTRTACAAAAAATTAAAAAATGACGTTAATTTATRWAYTATGTACTTACATCTATGTGGCTTTGATTTGTACCGAAAACGTCACCATACAAAGGTTTTCCGTTTTCGTCGACTGGAGGTTTACCCCATCCCCCAGCATGATATCCAAAAGTGCAACCATCAGGAATAGGTGCATTAAGCCCGGGAATTTTCAAGTTGGGATAGCTGGGCGGTGGTCCATACCGCTGCATTGCAATTAGCCAAGGAGGCGGAACCTTATAGAAACAAATAATAAGCAAAAAATTACATTTAGAACGCACAACGGGTGAAAATAAATAAACATCCCGGACAAGGAAGAAACATAATCTGATGACAAGTTTTACCTTATTTGCATTAGGTCCGACCGGCATACCTAATGCTGTTCGTAGTTCTTCGGAAAGATCGCCAGGCTTCTTTTCTTTCAGTCTAGTCTCAAATTCTTTACCTTCGTAGTATAAATCACCATGAATGGTCATTTTCGGTTTAGTTTGCCACCTGAAACATTTACAAAATTATGTGTGTACTAATATTATTTATAACAATTATTTCAGATGAGCTTTTAACTGAAAACCGTGATTCAASTTCAGGGTTGAAATCTAAAGRGGTACAGGGTGACACAACGGTAAASAGGTATTTTGACTAYAAMRTATTCAGCCGGTTTCAAAGTGGCCTYCGCCGCCKAAACTTTTCARYCRCACCACGCACCTTTTCAATCGAAATCAATTAGGTGTACAGTGCCTTCAGCTCATCATTAATTTGTATTTAATCATCGTTATTTCTGCAGAMAAACATGTTGATCGTGAATAAATGTTTTGTGTAATCCAAGACAAAGAAATAATGACCAAACAATGTAACTAAAAGATTAAATATTTCATCACGCTGTACAAAAAAATGATGAGAATATTCTGGAGRGTTCCCGGCCTTCTYATGGTCAAAYAATTAGCACCCTGAGAAAGGAKACAATAAAGTGCCGAAACCTTGGTAGCTAAAAAAGKTTTTTATTTTCTTCACTGCCCAGACCGAATTTCMAAGATRAAATCAACCATYCTGCAATTATTATCWATATATTATATTATAKCRGCCAAGAAACTGAACTGAAATGTGATTTARACAGCTTGTCTTTAAAACACACAAATAATTTTTTTTCAAATGTACGGACTTTCATACCCTAACCGTGATTTAGGTTTACTTGTAAAAAGTTTATTATGTTTTGTCCTGAATTTTTTCAAAGGRAAATTGGCGAAAGGAAGGCAATGRAATGACGAGGAAAAGGGTAGAGCGCGAGCTTATAAACAAGTTGGAATGACAAGAAAAAGGCAAGAATCCCAATTCTCTCGGCACGCAAAAAACGAAGGATTCGAGCTGCAGCAGCAAATTCAACGAAGGAAAGCCGGCGACTGCAGAAGACATTTGCGCCAAATGTGTCACATGAAACAGTCTGGAGGGCTTTAAAAGAGTCCCCCAATCTGGGACACAGAGATGTKGGAAAGCACAGTTTGCCRATCAGCATCAAACGTGGACAGCGGAMTGGCACTCGGTATATTCTCAGGTTACAGTTAGTCGCTGAATTAGTTGTTTTTTTACAGATTGTGTGGTCCGATGGGAAATTTAACTCGGATGGTTCAGATGGCTTAGCAAATTACTGGCATGATTTTACGCGCTGATCTACGTTACTTTTCGATGCGAAATTTTGTTGGTGGTTCGATTATGATTTGGGCGGCTTTCGGGAAGTCAAGTTTACAATTTTTGAACGGTAGAATTAATTGCGCAAGATACCAACAAGTACTCTCAGTACCAATTGACCAAATTGACGTTTATGCCAGACAATGTGCCAGTGCACGCTTCAGGAAGCACCAAACAGTGGTTGGCACGATCGCAACTCATAAAATCAATGGTCAAGGTATCATAAAATCCGTAAAAATCCTTTTTATTGGTAAATGCCATAATTACCATTATTATTTAAATAAAAAGGGTGATCATGTGACAACATAGACCTTGAAAATTACAGACCGAAAAATCTTCTTAGTCGCATACAAAAATCATAACCAACGGTTTGACTAGGAAAAAGAAGTTTTTCTTCGAAAGAGTAAGCAGGTTTTCGATGGGATGTGGAACAAACGACTACTTGTTAACAGCTAAGGTTCATATCGCAAAAAGCGAAAAATACAACAAACCACTTTTCGACTTCGAAAAATCGTTTGATTCCGTACATCAACAGAAACACGTGCACAGTGCCGCATTGACCATCGCTCCTCTATAGCAATTAAATATATGTATATACAAAACTGCAACAGCAAAGGTTGTGTAGTCTTTGTTAGCCTTTGGGTCACTGGGAGGTCGTTGGGAGAACCCATTAGTTATGCCGTTGTTGATATATCGTACTTTCAACTGTTGCCTACTCTCCGATTGATCTATTCGTGGAGAAATCAAGAATAAAATTTACTTACTTGAAGAATGCATCATGCAGTTTCTGGTAATCAATGTCAATTTTTCCCAATTTTGGTCGGGCTCTTTCCCTCATCTTAGCTTTCAACGTTTTGGATTCATCTTTCTCTTGAAGAGACGCACGCATTTCCATAATGCCAGTTCGTTTTATAAAGTCCGGTAGATTAAACGGCGGTTTCTCAATGCCCCTCTTACCTTGTAGGTATTTCCTCTTAAAGCACCAATGTCGTGGAACCTTCAAAATTGAAAATTTTACAATGTTAGTGGACAACAGCCGAATTTAGATTTAGTCAATTACAGTCATATTCATAGCTAAAAGCCTCTCGAATTAAAAACAAACTTTACAAAACCCGCATTCTACTGAACAAAACTAAATGTTGATTAAGCTTCAAAAAACCGTTCTGTTTATATTCAACTCCTACCTGCACAGTGTTCCTGTGAGCTTTCAGCTGCACTAAAAGTTTTGGATCTCTGGCCGTGACATCATGCATCTCAACCACGTCAGGTCTATGAACCAGCTGCTTTAATTCAGCCACGCTCAATCTAGTTAATTTCTTTAGTTTCCGTTTTGACATTTTAGATTTGTCTTCAAGTTTTCTCTACAAAAACACGAACAAATTAATATATATTAATTGTAATAGTTGACTTGAAATCATATTCAAGTGGAGCTCGGGATACAACTTCGGCCGCCACCTCATCGCCTTTGCGAAGAGACTGATGAGTCTATAAATTTAAAACTTGCCAACGGGATGTACTGGAGTGACTGGCGCAAGGTTGACCCCCTGATGTATGAGCGAATGACTGTTGCAGAAGTCGTCGCAACCAACCGATAGAAGAAGAAATTTGAGGATTTAGATAAAAAAGGAACATTTCCAATCCCACAGAACCTGAGGATCACTCGAGGGTTCAACCTGACCAATAATAACTGTCCACTCATGAAATCAACACCGTAAAAAGGGGAGGGAATTTTGCAATAGTACCTTCTAAGCCACCTGTAGAAGACAACATAGCTAACGTGGAAAGAGGTATGTGTCTACTACTCCGCGCATAATGCCGATCAAGTAASAGCGGAAACGGTATGCAACTTATAACGCGCTAAACCCCCTAAAMGCAATCTCAATTACGGAGAACGTCAAGCACTAASATCCTTAAGCAACGACAAGGCTATAAGAKCTCCTATATATCTCCTATCTCTATAAGATCCTCCTTTTACCGGCKGATAAAGGAAATCAATATCAATCTATCAATAGACACCGTTCCATGCCAAATTAATAAAAATTCGACTACGAGATACATATCGACTACGAGATATATGTAGGTACCTGTTCAAACAATTGCACATTTTGAACGGTAATTACTTGCTTAATTTAACCACTCGAAAAAATCCTTTTCATTTAGAATTTTCGGACACAAAAAATTCTTCATAAAAATGAATAATACTATTGCTAGGTGTTTGTACAAATTATAAGTATCTCAATGCGTATTGACTTTTACTTTAAATATTATTCGATATTTAATGCAATTTGTGCATCTGCTCTTGCCAGAAAATACAGGGGGTTATTTTAATTAAGTTATTACCGTTGAAAACGAGCAATAATTGCTTGAGCACTATTTTGAGACGCTCTGTATGATTTGCTCGTATAATAGTACTGCTGGGAATGCTGAGTGTTTCATAAAATAATTTTCATTTCATTTCTACCTATTTTAAATAGTATGCCGTATTTAACGTATCAATCCTGAAAATATGCGATGTCTATGAAAACCGAGTTTTTTTAGGAAACCTCCAATGGGTGTTGAGCATTTAAACTCCCGTTTTTACAAAATTCATTCCAAATATTTAAGTAAGATAAACCTTAATAGAACTGGCGTTTATTTCGGTCGTAGACACAAATAACATAATAATATACAGGGCATTCCATTCCAAAAAATGCAACTTGGGGTTGAATTGGCACACCCTGTACATTAGAAAATAAATTGAAAATGTATCTCCAACGGGCAATTTTCAAAAATGTTGCCGCAATCTGCCGCGTTGTATAATCTGAATAACCCTGTATATTTGAATAGCACCGACTTTAATATACTCATATTTTCCAAATTTCTACCAGAACATTATTGTATTTTTAAAGAGTTACGAGGACATTAAAATTAAACTTACGTCTTCTGAGTCTTCATTATCCTCATTTTGGTCATCAGACAATAATTTTGGCTGGCTGGAAAGTGCTGTTATATTAGCCAGCATGGGTGGAGGAATGTTTTGACGCTCGTCTGAAATTTTGAACTGCTCAAAAATCGTATAAAATTGGCGATATTGAGGAGCTAATTCGTGGAGTCCTATTTTTTCTTGAACATATCTGCAATTGATTTATTTAGAAAATAACACTTGACGATTCAATTTGTCTTACTCAATTTGTACAGAATCCTTTTCAGTTAACTGATCATCAAGTTCGCCATCTTTTTCAGATATTCCATTTTCCAATCCTTGTTGCCTATCTTTCTCCTCATTTTCCCTGTGTTTTTTATTCTTCTTTCGCTTCTTCTTTTTCTTATTTTTACTGACCTTCTCTTTTGGATCTCGACTCTTCACATGTTCGATCTCAGATTCCTCAAATTCGGACTCAAGATTGGATTCCAAGTCCTGTTCTTGTTCCTGAAAGAAACACAATATTCCTAAATGCTGTTTATGCAATAAAATGATTGCATACAATTATCACACTATGACCCTTTTTTTCCCACACAGGTTCACTGCTATCAGCAACATTCTTCTGATCTTCTCGGTCACCTAATTCTTCTGTACCCAGTTCCATTGCTCGTTGATCTTTTAGCGCCAGTACCTCCTCTAACACCTGAGGCAACACAACCTCCACGTTTTCTGGAGGTTCATCATTTGGTGGATCCACTCTCAAAGATAGCAACGATGGTAACTGCTTTTCTGGGGATGAAAGCTCCATTTCACTGTTACCTAAAATTTCATCAAAAACTGTAGTCAATAACTAAAGTCTCACCGATTAAAATTGAATCACACTGCGATTTTTTAAATACATTCAATTAATTATTATTTTAAAAATATTTTCTCTTTAGAGTACAATTTACCCGCTGTTTCACAGAAGAAGATTCCGCAGAAGATGCGGATATGTTAAAGCGGATAATTTAAAGAAATCGTGCGTTAACCAGAACATTCATTTTAAGGCGAATATCCACTAAGCTGACAAACACTACTTTTTCAACAGTTTGTATAAATGTTTCTACATTTAATATCCCCGAGGAAACAATGTAGTCCATTTTTCGACTTAACAAAAATACTGCTAGAATAATAATTGACTGAATTTCCTGATGAAGGCCAACACATACCAGCCCCTAGAAGAAGGATAACAATATCAAACGACATAAACTATTAGCTACATTATATTTTTATGCCACTGGAAGTTACAAATTAACTACAGCGCAATGTACAATAACTATTAGTCAACCGAGCATAAGTCGATGCACTACCGAAGATACAGACGTAATTTAATTGCATTTATTGGACAACTGGATTGTGCTTCCAAGTTCTTTTATTGCGAAAAGCAATGTCAAGGGTGGGTTTTGAAAAATTTCAATGTTCCACTATGTCTGGATGCGATTGATTGTACTCATATTGCAATAATTTCAGTCCCTGAAGATGATCCAGCTATTTCCTACTTTTCCCGGAAAGGATCGCAGTCTTAACTGCCAAATATACAGGGTATTCCGTAAATATGTTAAAATATTCTAACAGCGTGTTCTTCTAGTCATTTAAGAAGGGGGTCTTCCTGAGATTTTTTTTAAATTGAGGTTTTGTTGTTGAGTTATTCGATTTCCAAAATGGCAGAAAATATTAGTTTTTGTTTTCCTTTAAACCGGTTAAACATAGAAACTTCAATTTTGGCATACATAATAAGCCAATTGAGTGCCATTTTATGATAGTGTTTCGTGGTTCAGTTTGCTTTTATACAAGGTAGAAATGTAGAACCCCTACTTTTGTTTTGTTCAGAACTTTTTTGTACACATTATTAGTTGATTACTAACAACCCAAATTATTTTTCTAAATTGTGTATTTTGGTTTAGATTTCAATTATTAAGTTTGAATAAATGTTACTTAAATAAAAACATGGTAACAATAGGCGCAACGGTATAAACAAGAAAAATTAAATTGAAATAACCATTCTAATGTTAACTTAGCAGCAGTCTTTTAATGAAATTAAAATTTACAGACCGTAAAGTTTGCACTGAAGTTCTTATTTCGCTAAAATATTAAATAATCTTTCCTAAAGTTATTCGATTGTATTCCACTTCTGTTGAATAAACCGTATTTCTTAAATGGCGGGCAAACTAGTGCCCTTAAGAAAAAACAATAAGAGCTAAAAAAGTTGTAGTAATTAAAAAAATTATGTTGATAAAAGTTTAAGTGCACACAAAAAACTTCTGAACAAAACAAAAGTAGGAGTTTCACATTTCTATCCTGTATAAAAGTAAACTGAACTACAAAACACTACCATAGAATCGCACTCAATTAGTTTATAATGTGTACTAAAATTTCTAGTTTAACCGTTTTAAAGAAAAACAACAAAAACTAATATTTTTCGCCATTTTGGAGATCAAATATCTCAAAAAGATACCTCAAATTTAAAAAAATCTCAGTAAGACCCCCCTCTAAAATGACTAGGAGAACACGCTGTTAAAATATTTTAACACCCTGTATATTGAATTTAAATGCTCGATTTACGGGATCTACACATGATTCTGCAGTATGGCAAGCTTGTTTTCCGTGCACCAATATTAAATTTTCCTCCATTAAATTTATAATAAACGATTTTTGAAATTTTTGTTGTAAAAACTTTGGTTTCTCCCAAACTGCAAAAAAATTGTTGTTTGTTGCGTTGGTAAACGGGACATTTTATTTATTTTAAGTTATTGGTAACTGCTTCCAAAAGGGGAATACAAAACAGAACTGAAAAACAAACTAGAGACATACTTCTTGTCTTGTTTCAGCACGAGGTTTTGTTTTAGGCAATTTCAGGCTAACAAGATTGGAAATTTAGGGTAGATTTCAACGTTGCCACCTACTATTATTGAAAAATGTCGGTAATTTCGGAACGTCCAAATTCACGGATAAGGAATAGCAGTCGAATTCCTTATAACGGACCGTCAAAAATGTTATTTTTAAAGGAATATGTAGTTACAGAATAGGGCCCTTAAGCAATAATTTTAACTTTTGGTACTGGTTTTGGTTTTGGTAGCATGGTGAACAATGTGATTTTCAAATGTTAATTGAGGCTTGAATTACGGGCTATTAGTTATGATTTTGTGTGAAGATAGTACCGACTACCATGCTAGCGGTATTCGGTAGCCGGTGCCTGCAAAAATACGTAATAAACTGTGTAGGTAATGAATACTTTACCTGAAACACCATTCTCACTCCAGTCTGATGGCAGTACAGTCGGTTGAATAAATCCAGTGAACTCATTGTTCGTATCATGTAAGGCCTGTAGACCCTGATTCTCAACAGGCTGGGGCATGCTTTGAGACGATTCATCCATTTCTCGGGGAGGCAATTCCTAAACAATATAAAAAGTTTAGTGGATGATGTAAATAGAGCGCAATTTGTTAAGGATTTACCTCCAAAGAGTCAGCCATATCAGCTGAATGTAAAAGCTTCTGGATACCTGTATTTACATCCCAAAATCGCTGTTTTATAAAAATTACCGTTCAACGCGTTATGTTTGTCGACATGACAGATGACAGGTTATAAAGCTTCTTTTCATGTGCATGTGTCGATAGCGGTGATGCCGACTCTCAAATTGTCATAAGTCAAAGTCAACCTTTAGCGTTGAAAAGAGATAGAGCCGGCTGCCTGGGATCTTGAATGATACCGATAGAGACATATATCGACCGAATCAGGTAAAAAGCGTAATATTTGGTTTATAATTCAATTTCTGCTTTACCGACAAGGAAAGGAAAAACGGTAAATGTCGTAAATGGACTCAGCCAGGCGGATACATTAAATTTTTATATTTTTTATTTATTTATTTTGAGCTTATCTAAAAATTTTGTTTAATACACAGTGGAGCCATATATATGATTGAACCGGAAGTGTGTTGCGGTATCTATCGTAGAAAACTAGTTTACTTTCAAAGCCAAAAGGTAATAACGTACCAAAAGGAAAGTGAATGAACTTTTTGTGAGACCGACCGTCGACATCATCAAATTTTTAACCACGGGACTCAATAAAGCAGACGAATTCGCCGGGATCTAGATGAACTATACAAAACGGACGGAGTTCAGATAATGTTTAAACAATGCTAGTGTTGTATTTGAGCGGTAATGCGATTCCCTGGCCCGTGTGTACAGAGAAAGCGATATTTTTGCGGCCAGTTGCATCGGTGCCAGCAGGTGGAATGAAGTGATACGCCTTACAGGTTTTTGAAGATGATTTATTTGAAGAAGTGGGCTCCAGGTAATTGTTTAACATTATGAAATGCATATACCAGATCTTCAAACATCTCCAAACATCTTGACAAAATGTTCCAAAATGACAGAAGAAAGCCACAGAAGACATGGGATGAATGGAAGTGTTGACAGAATTTCAAAGGAGTGCCACAAGGCTAATTATGGTCAGGGAGGTCGCCTTAAATTCTTCAAAGGTAAGTTTAATTCATGTTGAACATCAGGTGTGAATTTTAGAAATAGTGTCCATAGTTTTGCACAGTTTTAAGTAAGAAATTTATAGAATCCTGGCCCTTAACCTTAGAACATAAATGTTGTCGGACACAGTCCAGAGATATTTATACTGGAAAATGCCCAGGTTGAAACTTTGGAACGTTTGCAAAGGGTTGTTGTATTTGAAATAATAATGAAGTGTTCTCGAAACAAAAAGTCTTAATAGAAACTGATATTTTATTTAAAAAATAAGGAGGCTTGTATTATGGCTGTCTATAACTTCAAGATTAAAAGAAAGAAATTCGTAACAAATATATTTAAAAACAATAAGTACTTAATAGGTACAAGTGTAAGATTAATTATGTCGATCAATTAATCGAGAACTAGCAACAAAATATTCGTTTCTCAAATTATGCCTTACTAGACGCAGAATTTGTCGTGAAATGATAGGAAATGCACTGCTATCTCGTTTTTTTGTGTTATCGTTATGGATCGTAGGATTTATAAGCTTTGATAGGAATCATTCATTTTTACCCCTGCAAAATCAAATCTTATTTTCACAACTTTTTACTCACTAGTTAACAGAATAATGGAAGAATTTTTAGGTAACAAATCGCATTTGAAAAATGATTAATTTTTAAAGCTTTATTGCTACATTATTGGGATTAGGATTACTTTTTTCTTCGATAGTGATAGCGTGAGCTATTTATTGCCATTCATTTGCTTTAAATTAGGATACATTTTCTGGAATTTTCTGCATGTCCTTGCAACAATTAGGTCACATTGTCCGTGAATGTCTGGGATGAAAACTACTCGAATTATGTTTTCGGTTTGCTGTATCTAGATCTCTTTTTCCGATAGGTCATTATCGAGCACAATAATATCTAATTTTGCAACTGTGATTTTGAGTGTCACTTATTCATCTTTGAAAAGATATTCAATTTTAGGCGACACTCTGTAAATGGTAAAATTTTGAGAAAAACTATTTTTTGCTAAGAAACGGATAGAGGATGGTCGAAAAACTTTTAATAAAAGTTATTCGAAAAGAAGAAAGGAACTAAAAAAAAAACATTATACGGTTGTTCCGGTATAACCGGAAGTCGCATAATGTCGCTGTTAGTTCTGAAAAAAACTGAACTGAAAAGAGTGTCTCCAAAAATTCCATTATCCAAATCGCATTACTTCCCGGAATATTCTAATGGACGCTGACCGTGAGACACCCTGTATGTATCTACAACTACAATCTCTGCAAACTAGGATTATTTTCCGACCTAGAACGTGGTTGAAATAATGCTCCTTTCTCATGAAACACCTTGTATACTGTTGGGACGTGAAATGAAAACATCGGACATTTGATGTTGATACTAGATAGAAAGATTTTCTGCGAACTCTTTGATTGTGCCGATACAAACGATACTGCGGCATAGCGACCCATTTCCAGCTGCACCCGAAGAAATGCTCTTTTTGCAGTCAGTTGACCGAAAAATTTGGCAGCTATAAGTTGAATAAATTTAGTCGATTATTTAACAATGCGTTGTTTTAAAATGTCATAGTAGTAGCAAAATATAATTATTTAAGTTTAAGTTAATCAATTTGAAATTTGTATGCAACTGCAAACTATCAGAACATCGATGTTCTGCCTTCGATGTTTCCCTAACATCGATATTACCTTTCGATG